GGTGGGGACACGGGGCCGCCGCTGCCGTCACTGTCCTTCTGCCTCCGGGGTGTTTGGCCTCAGCGACGCGAGGAGAGCCGCGGAGCTGGTCCCGGATCAGCGGGGAAGCCGACAGGCGCAGGGGAGCGCCCGTGGTGCGGGCGGTCGGCGGGCCTGGTCGTTCCAGGATATAAGTGGTTGAAAAGAGGTCGCCTTAGGAGACCTGCCTTGTGTGTTGGAGCGTTCCAGGCAAGCAGAGGTGCAGCATGTGTGTATATGTGCTTTATAAGCAGAAATGAGGAGGCACTACGGGCGAGGCAAGGAAAAGCGTGGATGGAGCGGTCCCAAGCGCGGCCCCCGCCGGCACAGGAGATCCGGTCACGGCAGCCGCGCCGGAAGGCGAGTACCCGCACCGTGGGCTGGCAGGGGTTCGGCCGTGGCGTGTCATGCCTAATTAAATCTGCAGAATGGTGACTTTCTAGGACTGTGAGGGTATATCTGAGAGCTATGTCTGCCATCCCTAGTGAGAGTGGAATTGCACTGATTTCTGGAAGTTTGCTATATATTTACAACTGTACATTGAATTTAAGCTGAGATGTGGTTGCGTGAGCTAGTCCTTTCAGGTGTGCATGATCGTCCTTAAACTCTTCACCAATATGCAAAGATAGTTCAGGGAAGAAAAATGTCAGCGCTTCATTCTAACTGCCCTTTTATTTTGTGCCTTAGTGTCTACTGGTGTAAAAACTGTCATTAAAGAATCTTCCTGAATGTTTGAAAGCACGTTAAGTAATGTGGTAATAGTACCATATCTAGGAGATCAGGAAAATTAAGCAAAGTTTCACCAGCCTTGAAAACTGATTCTTTCAGAAAAGTGCGTTTTATACTTTAGAACTTATACTTGCCTGTGTTGGAGCTGGTTTTATGGTTCTTTTTCATTCTCATACTCTTTCATTAGTGCCTCTTGCAGGATGAAAAGATGTCAATCCTTTGCTTTAATGCGCTAAGTTTTTTTTATTATACATACTTTTAGAGAAAGAGACACACATATATGAGTTGCCACATTAGTTTCACTTGTATAAGAAAGGTTAGAAACACAAACGGGCCCTCGTTCAGTGAGTATAGAATTAAAAGGATTTTCTTAAAGAGTTTTAAAGTTAAGTGCTTGGGTTTGATCTAAGGTGTTTTTGCCCTTGTATATCTGTTGTGTTCTTTATTTTCAAAGCTGTATAATCAAACAGCAGTAGAGCTGGTATTAGAACTAGAATTTCTTTATTGTTTTGTTTTCAATAAGTTAAAACTCTTGCAAAACACCTTCACCTACTGTATTTAAGATTATATGTAATAAGACCTGTCCTAAAAAGTGAGAATTGTACAGGTGATTCAGAAAATATCCCAGTGGAATTTTGCTCATCAATACTGAATGTGCTTATTTATATTACTTCAAAAAGAGGAAAGCTGCAGTTACCTCATCTACTGCAATGTTTATTAGAAAGGCAGAGGCTTTTCATTCTTGGAGTTTTCATTAAAATTCTGTTTATTTTGAATGTTTCTGAACCTCATCAGTGAAATTCTTGTTATGAAGAGAATGGCAAAATATTTTTGATGTGACGTCAGTGTTTTACCCATGCTGTCTCTCAGTTTATGCTGAGAAGACTTGCAGGCTTTCAGGAGTGGGCTGTTCATTTAATGTAGAATTGCCCAGTTAATCTTTTGCCAGAAAGCGTTAAAGGTGCTTGCAGAATCAGCAGCCCCCTCTAATGTTTTAGCAAGTAGTTTAAGGCTTTTAGGATGCCTTTATCTCTAATGTTCTTGAGAGGTTTTTAAGCTGAATATTTTCATTGTTTGATTTTCATAGTTTAATGTATGGTGACATGCAGAGTGTGCTTATCAGAGCACTGCAAAACAGTACTCCATTAATGTCAATAATAATCTGCTTTCTAGATTCTTTGTGGGAAATGTGTAGGACAATTGTGAGTCTGTCTTGAAGGCAATGCTATTTTTTTTAGTCTGGAACAGGAGGAACCACAGACCCCAGTGAATGCAGGTCCCAGCAGCAGTGGAGATCCTTCTTCATCCAGTTCAACACAGAACTCTGTAGTACCAGGTAAGAGATGGTGTTTACAGGTAAAAAAATCAGTTTCTATATGCTGATTGAAGGAAAAAAGTAGTAACAACTGCATTAATAGTCTGGTGTTACAGGAAAGTAATATCAGGTGATATAAAAAGGTATAGTGAGTGAGGATCTGGAGAACAGGCCCAAATCACTTTCAGGCCCAGAAGTGCTTCTCGTGTTTAAAAATTTGTGTGCTTAGCCAAGCTGATATAAGCTGAAAAAAGAGAAATTTGTTTCTCCCTCCAGAAATGCTGCTTTGGGAAGAAAATTAACTACTAAGGAAGCAAATAAAATAAGAAAGCATATAAGAAATTACTACTTGTATCCAGTTATTCAGTCTTTTGAAAGGCACAATGATCCACCACTTTGGAGAATCATCTCTCTTTATGCCTTCAGTGTATGAAGTATCAGTGCTGTTGAGGAAGATGTCCCATTTATGTTCTGGTTTCCTGACTCATTAAATAGTGCTAGCAAAAGCTACGCCTGTGGAAACATATATTTCTCTGCAACAGGAGAGCCCTGAAACACCTCTGATTCTTAACAACAGACAAAACCAGAAGGTTTTTGTATATCAATGTTTTATGTTGTGATTGTGTTAGGAGATGTATCCTGCAAGACATTTATTGCTATGTAATTAGATTCTGTGTACTAAATGTAGTGTGCTTTTATTACCTTTACCGATTCATTGACTAACTTTTTATTTTTCCTGACCTGAATAAGTTTTGGTCACTGAACCTAAAAGATGTGGACAAGGATTTGAATTGTAAGCAGCAGCAAAAAGAGGTTATTTAAAATGAAAATTCTGGTAGTAGATAAAGTTTTAAATAAAAACTCTTGAAATGTAACAATTGCCTCTTCTGAATAAAATCCTTTGTCTTGAGACAATGTACCATTATGAATCTGTCGAAGTATTTTATCTGTCTGCCTCTGAATTCACCCAGACAATGAAGCACTAAAATTGAATGTTTCTCATCTCAATTTATCCTTGGATAGGGAGCCAAATGTACTCTTGATTATATCTAAATCTCTCCTATGTGTTGAAGAAAAAGTATCTTGTTCTGGGAAGCGAATCACTTTATTTTGGTTTGTGTGATACCTCATTGTCAATTTTTTTGCTGCTGTTTGGGACTGTCCTACCTAGTTTTTTAACTAAGAATGTCCCCTCATGACTGATTTATGAAGAAAGATCATTTTTGTTCTGCAGCAAATCCTTTCTTCTTTTGCTCTTCTGATCTGTCTGAATTTCCTCTTGGTCAGTGGTGACATCCCTTTTGTACCTGTGTAATGGCACTGCATTTGAAAAGCTATAGTCTTTTTTTCTCCTGTAAGTGGCTCATCTATTCCCAATCTGTGTATCATACTTGGGACCTGTTGGGAGCAAGAGCTTTGGGTTTTGTGACTGACATTCACATGAAGACTTGCAGTATCAAAGAGCCATAAACAAACTTAGTTATCCATGTGATTTTGTCACTTTTTCTCCCCCACCCCCCAAGAACTGCCAGGATTTTATTATGACTCAGAAAAGAACCGCTATTTTCGCCTACTGCCTGGACATAATAACTACAACCCACTCACCAAGGAGAGCATTCAGTACAAGGTGGTGGAATGCAAAAGACTGAGACTCTTAGAAGAGGAAGACAAACAAAAGAAGGTATGTTCTGAAAAAGATTGCAATTAGGCTTTATTGTACTCTGGCCCAGGACAGCTTATAAACTAAAGCCTTTCAATTCTGACTCAGTTCGATTTCTTTTTTGGCTAAGAATATATAGTCCTTGAAGCCTTTTATTTGACTGTTCCACACAGGAATGAAATCAAGTCATTACAAACAAAAAACCTGTAAAAAGACAGGAACTGTGCTCAAAATCGCAGTTGTCCGACAGTTACACTTGAGTCAGAACACTGGATGCCAGGTTTCAGTATGCTGTCATTTGGAATAAGTGAGCAGTGTTCTTTTCCTTAGGCAATGAAGTGCTCCAACCAGCTATTCAGCTCTTTAGTCTCCACTGTGAAGAACATTTTGACTCTCAAATGATTGCTTTGTCTGAGCATTATAAAAAAGATTTCTTACTCTATAATTCTGCAAAGTACTCTATCCTTTGGTCTCCTCAGAAAGTGTTTGCATGAAATTTTAAAAAATTATGAATCATAGAATGGCTTGGGTTGGAAGGGACCCTAAAGATTATCTAGTTCCAACCCCCCTGCTGTGGGGGAGAATAGAAATGGAATGGAAAAGCAGTTCAGTGCAACAGTAAGACTGCATGCTTAGTAGCAATCTTGTTGCGATAGAATATTTTGCTGTATAATAAGAATTTAAGGTGTTATAGCGAAGCCAGAAGGTGACTTCACACCTCCAGGTGGTACTGCTGATTATGTAGAGTGAAAACAATGGCTATTGTTTTGGGGTATTTTTTTCTTCAGCTTTTATATTTATAGAAGCACCCCACATCTCACAGGAATATATTCTTGTCTGCTTACTGTAGGAGAGCATGGAGATGGTGCTGGAAAGTGTTTTATAGATGTTCTGAAAATTTTAATTTATGTAGGCTAAAGGAAAAAGTTACCTACATATCCCAAACATCTAAGACCCACAGCCATGTTCGAATCATAAACAAGCAAATAACTGAGTAGGCTTCCATGT